TATATATATATATATATATATATATATATATATATATATATATATAGTATATATATATATATTATATATATATATATATATATATATATATATATATATATATATATATATNTATATATATATATAATATAATATATATATATATATATATATATGTATATGTATATATATATATGGGTCTACTAAACTAAACACGATATAATGCACAATATTAGATCATTTCAAGTCCAGACGCGATTTCATATGAATAGAACGCCCATCTATGAGATCCCTTTGAATCTATCTAATGTGTGCATATCCAATATAGCTACTGATACATAATCAAAATCAACATTGAAACACCCACAACTTCGTGAAGCCAGGACCTATATACACATCCATCGTGTATACATATCTGATACATATCAATGCGACAATCAACCATGCGCACGTACTATAGTAGATACGTAGTTGATGCATACCATTTTGGCAATCAAAACTAGGACGAAGCCGATTGCATGCAATATAGATACATATATGGGATATATATAAATGTACATGTAGTAGCAGCATCATGCACATATACATAAATACTTACCGCTTTGGCAGGATACTCTGTTCCGAGGCTGCTTTTGCTGGCGAAGGTATAGCTGGTGCAACTGCTGGAGTTGAATTTTTCCTAAAGTCGGTTTCTGACGGCGATGGCGAATTCGCAACGGGTGCGGATGTAGCTGGGGGTGCCTGTGCTGAACCGTCTGCGGATGCTGACGGTGGCCTCGACTCCTGTAGATTCACAGAGAGAGACAAACATATCAGTATAAATATCTGGATATAATTATAACTATATACATATACGCACGGAGCGATTAAGCAAGTATGTACATATAAATAGATTTGAGGCTGAGGACGAATTCACAATAGAAATGGATGTGGTCTAGAGTGTCCGTGCTGAATCCTCTGCAGGTTCTGGTGATGTCCTTAAACCTCGTAGAGACGCAAGTAATACAATGATTCTAGAAGTGTACAAATTTGACCGTATCGTTATGCACCTACTAAAAAAATTACATTTTACGCGTGTGTATCAAGGAGAGAGAGTAGA